GTGTGTGTGTGTGTGTGTGTGTGTGTGTGTGTGTGTGTGTGTGTGTGTGTGTGTGTGTCAAGGCAAGAGGCCAGAACAAGAAGTAGACTTTCACATTTGGAATTTCACCATCTTCTGCTTTAACCTAAGGAGAAAAAAAAAAACCCTTACCCCACGAGAGACACAAACACCTGCTTCCACTGACTGAGCAGGCAGCTGCCTCTGAGTGTGTGAGAGTGTGTGTTGAGAGGTCGGTGGTTTATTGACAAAAACAATACAAGCTCAAATGGATAATGCGAGACATAACATTACAATGCATTGGTTCTTAAGAGCTCACTGACTGGGCGGAAAGTCTCAAATGTCTGGAAAAATATGAGGAATGCAACTTGTAAAACCTTGTTCAGCTTTATTAAACTGCACAGATATTTTTACTTTAAAAAGATGGGAAAAACATTAAAGGAATAAAGGTGTTTCTTAAGGTGAAACGTTCTACATGGACCAAAGAAGAAGTTCAATTTTGCCACAAGTACTTTTTTTGAATCCATCCTCCTTTCCTTTTTCTTACATTAAACACAACCTGTCGCAAGAAGATTGGCTCATAAATTCAGTTTGAGTGTCACAATAGTTTTATAGCCGGATGTTGCAGAAGTGGCGGGCTCCCCGAGCGTGCGCTCGTGCTGATGAATTCGGGGTCTGCAGTAGCTGACTCTGGTCTGATTTCCTCATTCCCTGGCTGCTGGTTGTGGTCGCAGATATTCAGGCGAGGGCAGCCGCTCCCTGCTGGCAGCGGTCAGGTACGGAGGGCCTGGCTGGGCTGGGCCAGCCTGATAACTAGCCGCCCTCCTCCGTGCTACAGAGATGAGGAGAGAAACACAGAAAGACAAGTGATGAACAGAAAGAGAAAACACTAAGTTGGCAATCTACTGTAAATGTGAGGTGTGCAAAAACTTTTATTAAAGACTAATACTGTAAACCAGGGGTCCCCAAACTTTTCCCTGTAAGGGCCACATAACTTTTCCCTTCTCTGGTCAGTTTGTAACAGAAAAAGTGTGACTATTGCAGGAGTGCCTAAATGTAAAAATGTATTGTTTTCCAGAAAGTACAATCAAATAAGCCTCTCTGGCTTCTTCACAGTATGTATTCTACTGAGCTAACAGTCCACTTTTTAGCTTTGAGAGTTTGTTTGCTCACATTTGGCCTTGAAGCTGTCATACTTGTCTTTGTGATGGGATTCATAGTGTCGCCACAGATTGTATTCTTTGAATRCCGCCACYRCCTCTTGACAGATGAACAAAAAAATAATCGTTTGTCCACTGCAGCTTAAATGYCCTGCATTCTGAAACAATTTTTCTCTTACCGAATCTTTTCACCATTATTCCGTTCTCTCTTTGAGAGGGGCGGATTTAGGATTTTTTTTCTGGGGGTTGCCAGATAGGGGCACAGACCGCAGAAGGGTGGAACAGAATGTCACGTTATATGCGTGTATGTATGAAATAGTTACTAACTAACAATAGTTAATAATGAAAATAGTTCATAACTAAGGAACATTTTATTGCAAAAGTCCAACTTTATAATCAAATACAAATACACATATATGAAAAAAATAACCTTAATGCTCTCTGGTATTGTTCTGGGGGCCGGACCAAATGGTTAGGCGAGCCGGATCCGGCCCGTGGGCCGTAGTTTGGGGACCACTGCTGTAAACGCTAACACTGGTGTTAAAAAACATTAGCCACAGCGGGCCTTACAAAAAGGAAAAACATTCTTTTATTGGTTCCAAATTTTC